TATTGTGCAGTGAACAGTACCGATCCATGTTGTTTTGGGCTGCGTTGAGTCCAGCCCTGTGAAAAGGGGCATTTTATGTTGGGTTGATTTTGGCCCAGTTTCCTTTAGGGCCAGGTTTGACCCGTCCTGAAATTTTTTTAAAAAAAATTTGTGGTTTTTCATGATTTTGTTACTGTATTTTGGTCAATATCGATTTTTATTTTTATACTGTAAAGATACAAATCCAGTATTAAAATACCTAATTTTCATAAAATCATCAAAAAACAAATAAAAATATATAAAAATAAAAATATTTTATTTTCATGCATACGACCTAGTCTCTCTAATATATAGATAGATATAAATCATCACATCATATTTTCATACAATAAAGTAAGTTTGAAAAAATATATGTATTAGCATGTATTTTGACTTTTATAATCAGTTTATTCAAGTCATTAGAACTAGGCTAATATTTTAAAAATTACAAAAAAATTATTTTATTTTCTTTTAATATTTGGGGTTACGATCTTATATGTAAGACATATTCTGGATATTAATTTTTTTTTGTTAATGTCAGAATTACCTAATAAGATAAGAATCTCTTTACTAAGGAGGACTTTTCCTAAACCATACCAACAATTAAAAAACATGACAAAACTTTAGATTTTATCAGACAATAAAACAATGTAGCTTACCTTAGGTAGGACGTATTTGGGGTGCTAATACCTTTCCTTTACGCAACTAGTCCCCGTACCCGATCTTTGAGGCCAGTTAGGGTTCGTAGTGACCAAAATACTAGGTGGCGACTCCCATTCCATTTTCCACCGACAAAAGACAATATTTTCTTGTCTCCCCATATTTTCCAGATAGATGTTATACATTTCCTAATAAAAATGAAAAACTCGCCGCGACACCGCATACATGTGACATGATTGATGACTATATAAATATTAAAGAGTCATCAAGTAAATGGATCCAATTTGAAAGCTCATATTCTCCTACCTTAAACACACATGACATAAGCTTGAAAGCTTCACCTTTCTATATTTGTGCTGACTGAAGCATTAAAGAGTCTTATAAACCTAATAAAGGACTTGTTTTATAATTGCTTATAAAGTTGACTTTGATAGTCTCAATCTCCTAACTTTTTCTCTAGCTTGGAATGATCATGATAGTGGGGCTTTTCATGAACTTTATCGTTATCTATAAGAATCCTAAACAAAAATTGATTTATCTCTATCTTTTTCTATAAGATTTCAAGTTCTTTCCATGGAAGGTAACCCATAAATCCTAAGAATTGAGAGTTATACATCATTTCATTATATGTGCTCCAATAGCTTTTTTAGATCTTTACTAGCTAACCCAACAAGTAAAAATGCTTATAAAGGCTTTACTAGCTTTTTTTGTTTCTTATTTTTCTTTTTCTTTCCTTTTACATTTGCATAAGAGTTTGTACATGAATATTAAGTGGTAGACTTTCTAGAAAATTCTTATTATTTTCAAATAACATGGCCGAAGAGGAGGATTACCGAGATTACTGTGCAGTGAACAGTACCGATCCATGTTGTTTCGGGCTGTGCTGAGTCCAGCCCATTGAAAAGGGGCATTTTATGTTGGGCTGATTTTAGATATACAGAAAACATCACATCATATTTTCATACAACAAAGAAAATTTCAAAAAATATATGTATTAGCATGTATTTTGACTTTTATAATCAGTTTATTCAAGTCATTAGAACTAGGCTAATATTTTAAAAATTACAAAAAAATTATTTTATTTTCTTTTAATATTTGGGGTTACGATCTTATATGTAAGATGTATTCTGAATATTAATTTTTTTTGTTAATGTCAAAATTACCTAATAAGATAAAGATCTCTTTATTAAAGAGGACTTTTTCTAAATCATACCAACAATTAAAAAACACGACAAAATCTTAGATTTTATCAGATAATAAAACAATGTAGCTTATCTCAGGTAGGACGTATTTGGGGTACTCATATCTTTTCTTTACGCAACCAGTCCCGGTACCTGATCTCTGAGGCCAGTTAGATTTCTAGTTACCAAAATACTAGATGGCGACTCCCATTCCATTTTCCACCGACAAAAGACAATATTTTCTTGTCTCTCCGTATTTGTCACATAGATGTTATACATTTCCTAATAAAAATGGAAAACTTGCTGCGACACTGCACACTTGCGACATGATTGATGACTATATAAATATTAAAGAGTCATCAAGTAAATGGATCCAATTTGAAAGCTCATATTCTCCTACCTTAAACACACATGACATAAGCTTGAAAGCTTCACCTTTCTATATTTGTGCTGACTGAAGCATTAAAGAGTCTTATAAACCTAATA